GCAACGCCGAAGTTGTATCACCATTATGGGCCCCAAGGTAGACGAAGCTGGCACCAAGATGGCTGTGGGCGGCTGTCGACGCGAAGCGTCTTGAATATAAAGTTACTCCCCCAATTTACTCAGTCTAACTTGAAAACCCCTTTCAACTATTTTTCTATATGAATTTGAATATGTTTATCATTGCGTGCATGTTTTTTATCCAAAAGCTGTAAAGAAAAACTGCATACCGAAAATTCTGTAATTGTTTCACGCCGGCTAGTTCTACAGAGGTTTTAACAAGAAAATGAGATGTTTTGGAGAACAAACAGGCGGTGAATCTAGATATAGATACACTGCAAGTCTTGAAAAATCACATTATTCAGACCATGCAAGTGAAAACCCTGATAATGAAATCCATATTGTCTAAAATGCGTTTTGAGAGCAAGAAGAATTGCACGAGTTACTGTCCATACAAGAACATACAACAGAGAAAATGCTGCATTTTTTACAGAATTCTTTTCCAAAAAGGGCAGCTCTTGCCCGTATACACGAGCAAATACAAACCAATGTAAAAATATTGGTAATCAAACTGCGAATGATTTATGGCAACATTAATTGGTGCCATATGCGTATATATATACATATATATGTGTTCAAAAATAAAAACATCAGCGCGTTGATGACAACACACTAATATGTCAAGTGCTTTTTAAAGCGGGCTTCCGATGGACACAAAATATTACATCAGAAAAGTATTTGCGAAGAATCTTGTAAACTTGCTAAATGAAATACATGTGATGGACATGGACCTCCAGGAAAAATTGCTGAGCCGCTATTTCTTAAGTTACAAATGAATTGCGACAGGATCCAGTGCGTCAAAAACACCGAGTGGAGATTTAAACAAAAAGAAACAACATGAGCGAAAATGAAAAATATGAACTCAGATTTTAGAAGTACATTGAAACCACTAAACCATAGGTTCTATAATGAAATACAAAGAAATATGAAAAGAATCTTCACCACTACTACTACTGCTACTACTACTACTACCAGTACCACTACTACTACTACTACTACTACTGCTACTGCTACTGCTACTACTGCTACTACTACTACTACTAGCACTACTACTACTACTACTACTACTACTACTACTAAAACTACTACTACTACTCCTCCTCCTGCTGCTGCTGCTGCTGCGACTACTATCATTAACTACTAACTACTAACTACTACAAACTACTACTAACTACCTACCTACCTCCCTACCTACCTAACTAACTAACTAACTAACCAACTAACTAACTAACTAACTTGCTACTGCTACTGCTTGCTACTGCTACTGCTACTGCTACTGCAACTGCTACTGCTACTACTACTACTACTACTAC